GGAATAATTCATGTTAGGTGCTGACTGCAAGGTGTGACTTCGAAGTTAGCTTTTGGTCACACCATTTCTGTCTAACTCAGATAGGCCTCCAATATGTAGAAACGTAAAAAACGTTTCACTCGTCGGACTCTCGATAGAAAAATCTGTAACTTTCTGAGGATTAATCGATTTGGGCTTTCCTGACTTTTTCAAAATGCCATGTGAATTCCGTGTTCTCAAAAGCAAAAGGATTGATGACTTTTCAGCTACAAAAAGCTTGATTAATTTGATGATGCTTTAGAGAACAGGTGCAATACAGTTAGTCTTTCGTCGTACAAATGACAACGAAGTTGAAGTATTGAAACTGTTGACTTTGTTCGTTCATAATAAAATACAGTTTCGTGGTGCTTTATCATACCTTTGGTTTGAGTATTTCTCTGTGCATGAAGATTTATCAGTACATTTTGTTATAACGTATGAGTTGTGTGCGCGTGCGTTCTTGCCCAGTTGATATCGATTGCCCAATGATACACAAAAGCATTATGAGCAGTCCTGAATACTACTCGGTCCTGCTTTCTCCCTAGCCCAGCCAGTAACTCCAGAACACCAAATAACAGCCTCGGCAATATGAATCATTATTTACAAACATACTGGGTTTATATACAAACCAAACAGACCACATCGTACCAAAAAAATAGAAAATAATATTTGCACAATAATTGGCCAAATGTGGCCGTTAATAGGGGAAAGTAATCGATAGACTGATGATAACTCAAGAATCGTATAATAATAGATCAAAGGTCAAAATAAAGCTAATGATACAACAATTATACAATAGGAAATGTACATATTACATTGGTCCATAACTAGTCCTCAAAGTTACCATTCATAATTCCCCAGGGGATATAACACATTTATTTATCGTGGTTGAAGCTGAGAAGATATAGCGATACACCAATCAGATGTAACAGTGTATTCTGCTCTTCCCACTAACCCATACTTTCTGTAACTTGTTTTCAGAAACGAATGTTGTTCAGTACTTAGGGTTGTGACTCGTGGTCATTGATAATAAGATCGTGAAGTGGTTGATCCTTTTGATATCACCAGTGGTCGAATAAAATTACTGTGGTGTTTAAATGAACCAATAATTCCTTTGTACTGACGACTGTTTGATTTTGAATTCCAAATACAATACATTTCTTCGTGTTCATCTAATACTTCTTGGTTAAAATGAGTTGTTTCTGGGATTCCTAGTTTATATTATAATTCAAATACTCTTAAATATCACGATAACAAACTAATGTTCCGTCTTTTTATCGTCCGCGACAGCACAAATCCTCGAAAACGACTTATTTGTTGTTCGTTCACCTTTTTCAATGACGAGCCGACTTTCTCCATCCGTGTGTTAAATGCCTGCATATAAAACCTTGAGTTTCGGATGAACAAGCATTGCATTCTACATCATGAATATCTTAGGATTTACGTGGGTAAATACCATACATTTTTACGAGAACATTTTAGCGTTTTGGCAACTTCTCTTCGATAATGAGATGGATTACTGCGTTTTTAACAAAACGCGGTTTAAAACTGTCTAGAATGTACATGTTTATGACCTTAGTCGCCGGTATGAGCTATAATGAAATTGTCGGTAATAATTATCTCTTGACGAATTTTGATAGTTTGAAGTACTTGAATTATAGTACAAACTTGGAATCCCAGAAATAACGCAAATTAATCCAGAAGAACTATATGGGCACGAATGGACGTGTAGTGAAGTGCTTCGTTAATCGATCGTCTCGATAACCGTCATTATATCAATCTGAACGGTGTATAATATCAGGAGACAAAGGGAAGTGGCAACTACATATTTATTGACAAATAACATAGGCTAGGAGGCAGTAAGCACATGAGTAAATGTTAGCAAGCGAAGAAAAAGTAACATACATGGGAGATGGCTGGTAAGCCAACTCGTTATGAGCAAGCATTAATCAACATTTATAGTCAGACTAAAATGAATGACAGACATGTGATAGGTAGGATAAGAAGGGCGCATACACATACGCTCATATAAAAAAATAGTCAAGGTCAATAAGCGAATAATTAACAAGATCAAAATATGACTCATAACGTTATAGGTGAATTGGCTTGTCCAGAAACTAGAATAAGCTATGTAGGTGTAATATAGTACACGACGTTACACTACTCCACACACCCTCCTCCTTAACCCTGGTTTAGGACCGGCAGTTGACCGGATACTATCGGCAACAGCCTTGTGGTGAACCAGACAATATATAAAAGCAAAAAATATCAACAAAGTTAATAACAACCAATAATAATATTAATATATACCAGTTAAATGTTACGAATACAATAAATAATGGAACTTTACTTAAGTTGACCCGAAATGATGCGTGTTCGACTTTGATCTGGTACAATAGATCCACAATTATAGATGCTTAGTAATTCCAAACGTATCGCTGATCTCCCCAGTATTGTAATCCAGAGTAAGATATGATGTATTCGCTTTCTCAGTCTATGAATGTAAATGATATTTGTTTTAGAACTAAGTTAACTCAATCTCGAATGAAAACAGAACGAGGGATGAGTGAGTATTAATGTATTTGGCAGCCAGAAAGAAGATGTCACGCTATGTTGGAATCACAACGGAAGTGCCTTCAAGGTCATTGACTAAAACAACATGTACAGTCATTTAATGATGAATGTACATACAATGAAAAATTGACAAAACAAATACAAATAATATTAAAAACTATTTACAAAATAAGCTTGTCGGTCATATCTCCACAGCCTATTGTAGAAGAAAACAAACCAGTCTTCAGCTAGATACGAAATTAGGAAAAGACTTTCGAAGTGAATAAGATACATTGCGGAAGTCATCAGACTGTATCATGAGGTAAGAACTAACTTGGGATCCTGGAAGGAGGAGGTAAAGAGGAATACCAAGGAGCACAGTGTGTTGGGAATCAAAAGCGGATATCAGAAGAATGAACAACAACCGGAAAGGATTGCCAATGACAGAGTTGGTTGAAAAATCCTGGTGGGTGGTCTATGCTCCACCACGAGGGGTAACATGATTAAGTACCATTGCTTCCTAAACACTTACCACTTTTCATGGCAGCATTTTCGTTAACTGCAATATTACGTCCTGAAATATCTATTGATGACACTTTAAAAAGCCTATAGTCATCACGTAATGCCCAAAACAGAACATTCCTATTATGTTCGAAGGAGTAGCGATTATGACATCGCAACCGTATACGCAAGCATGTAACAAGCCCTAAGGCAGTTTTCCGAAGTTCCCTCTTCAATGACGGAAAATGTCGATCCTTTTTGGTGTCAATCATTCTCTTGAGGTTTCGTATTCGTATGTTTTCGCTCGTAAGAGTCACTTTGGTTAGATATGTGTTGTATAGCCAAATCTTTCACGATCGGCAATTTATCTTAGCACTCACTCTCTTTCGCGAGCCCTTATTGTTTCGTAACCCGGTTAAACATGTACAAATGATAGAAACTATAGCTTTTAAACTTTTCATATCGCTTTTAAATTGTGGGTGATTAACTACTAACGACACAACACGATTTTATCGGGCTACAAGCCAGCTCCGTGCATGTCATGCAGCGCAGTCTTATACTTAGAATGTCAAACACATGCACTCATGGTCATAAAAAGAAAGATCACTTAACGTTTTTCAGAAATGCGGCTAATTTCACTGGTAGGTTGTCAGAGCTACTACCCGAAAGTTCTTCTTTTACGGTGAATATGATGGAGACCAAAGTAAAATTCGAGAATGAGTGAGTGAAAAGACATGATGCTTGGATTCTTGAAGTATTGGCGATTTTAGCTGACTAATCACCGTAAGCGATATGCAGCAAACGGGAGCCGAACTGGATTGGTATGGGTGGTTTGCTGTAAGCCTTCATTTGGAAGTGTGTTCGGTAAAGCTAATCGAGCCAGGCACAATTTTTAAAGACCTTAAAAACTATTCCTTACGGGAATTTACAATACATGTGACATAATATTCAACCTAATAACACGTTATAAATCAATGGCGATTCGTAAAAAGTATTGACGTTTAGCCCAAGTACTTCAATAATCTTTCGCAGGTAAGCTACTTTAAAATATCGGCAACCAATCTGGTCAGGCTAACAGGAGGACAACTACCAGGACTATATTGAAAAACCTTTTCAAAACAAAACATGCTATAAGCATCCTTCCAGTTACATTGTAACCTACCCTGGGTTACTGAAAAGTCAAAACGTACATTCAAAGTTTCTGTGGTAGAAGGTGTTAGCTTCCTCGGTAGCTTGAAACGTATCCCATTTTCTCCCGTCACTTTTTTCTAGTACCTTTAATTATCATCCCAAGGATTCTAAGCTCTTGAATGGCCACTGCGTTCAGGTATTTGTTAATGTATCTCGATTACTTCAGTAAAAAATGTATTTCTACAGAATTTAGTCGTCAAAGCAGTCTGAGGAATGTAATAGTGGCTCAGTAGTCACATGCTTCTTGAGCCCTTAACTTCCATTCAAAAGGTAAGATAAATCATGTAGGTGTGTAATAACATAGACGCTGATGCACTATCATTGTCCTATCAATCTAACTAACACAAGCACATTATTTCGAGGAATATTTTAAGACGTTAGGAATGAGACTGCGTAATCCGCTTAAGGTTCAACCAGCCATGACGCTGGACCAGTTTAGTATCTCGTTGTTTCTTTAACACGTAACAGAACATACGTTTTGACTGTATTAAGTAGATTTTACTCGAATGAGTCATCCGGTACTTCTGCTATTATGTGTTTTAACTGCACAGATTGTAAATGAAACTCTCTTACAGCAAATAATTACCATGAGAGGACTTGGTACAACGTTTGCATACCGATACGTCATCAACCGTAATGATTGAGTTCCAACCAGTTCTTTTTCATATGACTAAAGTAAATAAAATAAAATTTTCATTGAAAATGATAGTACGAAAAGTAAATACAGCCAGCAGTTCTGGATCTAATAACTCCTTAAGTGTTATTTATGCTCATGTATCTTGCGTTTAAATAACTCTAATCAAGGCGCGTGAACTTATATTGATTTAAATGTGTCTCGATGACTAGCCAGTATACCGGATTTAAGGTTGAGTTAACGTCATCTCAACTTGGGAAAATCGTTGGTATTGTCTCAAATGTTAGCGAAAACAAAATCAGTCTCATCAATGCAGTGATCAACAATTATCCTCCTACGATCCCTTCGTTTGCTGTCGAGTGAGTTCCATCATTGTTTCCTTTCAAACATTTCCATACACACGTTAGTTTTATTGTATTAAGCTTAGTTTCCTCACCACCTACCAGCTGATTATGGGTTGCCTGTGTTTAATGTACTGTCACGTGAGTTTTTCACATCACTAAACCAGACTTGTCCCCTAAGACTTTAGGTGTAGTGGCCTTCCCGCGTATTGTTGTAACTCCGTTCACATACGATAGTCAACTAGTAGTTAGAATTCGTATCTACAGACAACAGTTTTGGAATTTAAGGTTATTACGAGCTGTTAATTCATTTGTCACTCTTAAACTATTGTCTCTGTCATTCCATTAACTTTGCAAAGACCTGTCTCATTAATTTTCACTGGAACTTGCTTCAGTAGTCGACTTTTCTTGCTGACTTGATAACAGTGGCATGAGGGTGATTCTAATAGTCAGTCGTATGTAACTTATTAGGTTGATCTATCGTTTATCTTTCTACACTTTTTGGTCGAACTATGGTTGACGAACGATCTTTGAGCAACGCTATATCGACTTTCAAAACGTCCAACTACCCACTAAGGTTCAATCAGTGTTATAAGTTTGTTCGAGGAGTTAAGATTACTATTTGCAATTGAACGTTGAGTTTCGGAATTACATTCACTGTTTTCGCCAAACTGACTTCAGTTATAACGCCAAAATGCTATTTAGTCGGATTAGTGAATGGATTTTGCGCCAAGACCTGTTATCCTAGGTCTCATGCGTACGTCTATAAATTACGGTATCACCAAACAAACAACCTATCATGAAATAATTTTCAGATGTAGTTTATTGAAAGCGCAGAAAATAGATACGTCAAGCTATCAACTTATACGTAGAATAATGTTCAGATAAACGATACTATCAAGTAATATAAACAGTTAATTACAAAACAACAATTTAACCAGTCAACCAGTTATAAGCAGCGTAGAATCCAACATATATGCATCATTTCAAGTTCCCGTACTACATTAACAGTGAGATAAAATTATAGAAATAGTAATAGCAGTACCAACAGTGGTACAAAAGACTAGGTAAACGAAAAAAATGGTATAACGAGATCTGAAGGCTAAGGTTTTAGGATGAGACAAAGAGGGAACGCACAGGCATCATTGTGAACAATTCATTTATTTATATATATTTAAACACATAAATATTGGTACAAGGAAGCACCAGATATATATGCGCCATACAAATCTCATTCTATTTGCTTGAGGGCTGTGATACTGCCCAGGTGCCCAAACTGAAGCAGGTGGTTTTCTTAGGGGGCCACACCCGAAGCATTTGACCGAAAGATCTGATCCACAAGGCAGTGGAGCATCGTGAGGCGATGCATTCTCATGGTAGCCGGTGATCAACGATTGATTCGTACGCCATTTGTTCCCTCAGGATACTGGAGCCCATGTACACCATTGGTTTGGAACCAGGGTTTTCCCACTCCTCTAGATGGACTTTCCGTGTCCACCAACCCGGTTAAAGCGCCGGACACTCGCTTTTCGTCCACTCAATTTCGTAAACAACACCGTGGTCACGAAAAGCCAGTGAGTAGGACTTCCCTGGCAGAGGCTATATATTCGCTGGCCATGTGAGAGCATTTGGAGAGTGAGAGCGGACTCTCCCCACTCTCTGTCGTACCAGGGCATTTGGGGGCTGTGAACAATTCTGACTTATCCCACTAAAATTCTCTGACCACCGGTTACTATGATCATGCTGACACTAACCAGGTAGTTTACACCAGTCAGCATGGTTCAATTCAGTTGTTAATGACTTCATGGACTGATTCTGAGTAATGCTTTGAGTGGTCCTAGCTTTCTCCTAACCTATTCTCACACTAGTAGACATGGTATATCGAGGTAGCCAGTGGTATAACATATTTTTGGTGGAGTTTTGTTCTCTGAGTTGAACGAAACTCCGAAATCATTCACTTGAGCTGCGAATATTATCCACCATCTCATGTATGACACACGTCCAAACTAACTTAGTTGATGAAAATTCATTGCCTCATCAATCGATTTGTTGTGTTTACCTAGTAGCTTATGCTTAACTTTGGCATCGCTGACTCTGTGGTCTCGAATTACACGGGTCATGCTTTGAAGGTACTTAAGATTTATTGGCGTACATTGTTTAAGTGTTATGATTAAACCTTAGAGCTCAAAGAGTTCAACTCGGACGAAATCTGTTGAATTCTGATGTGAGTTTGAAAAGCTTGTAGACTGTCACTGACCTCATGGATCGATACTACTTATGGCAGCGGCCATTATCTGCTCTCTTACAACCTACTGTTGTTCCAAACACCACTGCACGCCATGATGGTGGTTGGGCGCACTTAATAAACCTTAACTATCTTAGTTGATCGAGACAGCCTCAACTAACTCTCTTAGTAACTGATATCTACCCTTTCTATTCTCTTCTTTGTTCAACCACACCCGAGAGGTGCCTCCCAGTTATATATTCAAAAATGTGCAGCTTCTGCATGTCGTCCGCTCTGTCCTTATCATAACCGTAAAGAAATACATTGCAAACTGCCACACAGTATACCTGCCTCTTGGTTGACTGATAGATACATTGCCAACACCACAAGTTACCAAAGCCAAACCAAATTTCTAAATCCATACCCTAGGCTAGTCCCAAAGCAAAATCTTTGTTCTGGATCACCATAGACTGCATTTTGTCAACATCTTCACCAGAGAGGGTTATATCATCTCCGTGCTCCAGTTCAATTAGTGAGTTTCCAGGATGAAGTCCAATTCCCCAAAGGGTAGGCAAAGTATGTTATTTCTAAGAGGATATGATAAAACTCAAAATAAATATTGTGAGCAGCCCTAACAAATGCCACTTGAAGTTACTACTTCAGATAACAGTTTACTGTAAGCTCTAACTCACTGGTGCTTGTGTAAAAACAGAATCTCAGTACATGACCATAAAAAATATTGGTTGTTGGTTTGCGATGTCTACAAACTCGTACGTTTAAGTCATTCCCTAATTTTCTTTGATACATACATATATTTCGTAATAAATTCATTTCTCTAGTCATGAAATTGATACTTATCATTTTATTATGATCATATACTTCATAGTCTACATGTTAGTTTCTTAAATAGTATACAAATCTCAATGTCCTTTTCCATTGTCAGTTTCATATTTTTAATACACGAATGTACACATTACCTGATGTCAACAACTGTCTATTTCAATTTTACAGGAGTAGATTTATCCAAAATATTCGCATTCTTTCAACTGCAAGTGACGATGAATCCTCAGGCAGTGATACACCGGTTAAAGGCCCAAATAAGTCCTCTAATTCTTCACGTGAACAACGTCGAGAATGGTTAAGAAACATTCCTAACGCTTGCAGTGTTTATGTATGTCCTGACTCACCGCCTATCATTCATAGGACGCCTGGTGCTCCAGGATCTGGTAGTAACATTAATGATATTAGTAACGGTTTCGGACCGTCAAATGATTTGCAATTGTTAGATAATGCATTGGGGAAAGCTTCCATTCGCGAACCGAATGACTTAAGTCCAGCTCGTAAGTATGGCGTCAATAACCACCGTCATTCCAAACGCCGCAGTTATTCAAGTAAGTCTGGTTTTTAAGATTGGTTATTTTCCACTTTGTCACATCTGGTGGGGTTTTCCAAACATTTGATACCTTTCGGAGAATCCACCTCAATATCAAGTCCTGTGGTCATCTGGGTAGTGCAAAACTTAGTTTCCATAACGAAATAAGGTCAGCTAGAAAACCACTGATCTCTAGAAAGAACTAGTTAGCTCTTCTATCTGGAGACTCCTCAACAATGTTCCCCTCGCTACTGGATTGTCTTTAGGTTACTGAGTTGAAATCCAGCGACCCGCATTTCAGACACCAGTCAGTCGGGGATACAGAGCGGCCATCATTCAACCTCACTCTATATGGTTGAACTTCACTGGTTATGTGTTCAATCCCCTCCAGGCTGCTAATAGATGCTTCTAATAAACTACGAAATGAGACAAAAATGTGTTTAAGTAGTGTTTCTTGGTTTTCAGTGGTTTTCCAGATGACTCCAGTTCCTGTACTATATTGTTATATACAATCTTCCTTTTATATATTACCACCACTAAATTAACTACTTCTATGAATTTAGTGTCCATCTTGTGCTAATGAGGTATGGCAACTTGGACCGATTCATATATCTGCCTGGTTCTCCGTTGTAGCTGACGGACTGACCAGTTCGTGATAAAAGCTTCATATGCTGTGTCAAGTAATAATGCTTACAATTTTCCAAGTCACTCCAATTATTGATACTAAATCTCTGACGACTTGTGCTCCTATACCTTTAGCAACACATACCAGCTCCGCAACTGAGTAACAGTATCAGTCAGTCATATGCAACTTATAACCTGGCCCTTGTACACATTGTTTCAAGTTGTCATACCTCATTAGTACGATATGAAATTGTTGAGGCGAATCCCAAGGTATTAGAAGTAATATCAGTATGAGAAAAGACTAAGCATTAAAGATACTATTCGAAAAGGAAAAATGTAAACCAGTGAAGTAGAAGATTCATGAGGTGATTTAGAAATTCAGGATCTAAAGGAATACATTGTGAATGCACTAGCGTCATCGTAAACTGTCCTTACCCGTTATCTAAAGTCGCTAACCTTTAGTTTCGTTAATCACACTAACCTCAATCGGGTTGTCTTCATCTATTTATATGGATTAGTACGTTAGTAACGGTACCCATGTTAGTCTTCGGTTGTATTTGTATCGTGCATCATTCTTCACGTCAAAACACTGAGACCATTATTAACTTAATATCACTGTTCGTCTTTAATCGTAAAACTAAGATGAAACCCGGTCACAGTGATTTCGTCTGAGCTATTAGGATGAAGTCAGTGATTCTATCAAACGGTATGAAATAGCTATCAAAAAATAATGTACACTAAAAATAAACATTTTAGATTACACAATTATCAGATATTTAAAAGACTATTGTTATTATAATTCAAAATATTGTTCAGTACTTATGTAAAACACCATTATTTTATTATGATTAACGAATTTCCCACATTAAAAAATCAATATCTAGTGTCAGAAACAGCTGGTGCGACAAGTGATATATCTGGTGCTGAAAGTGATTCGTTCCATCGTTATACGAATTCAGGATCAAGAGGTCAGTTCAACTGTGGAGTCAGTGGCATTGCTAATCGACATGCTCAAAATCGCGGTCACCCACGTGATAATAATAATAATAGTCACAACCATCGGAGTGGAGGGAACACTGGACTAAATGGAGGTGGTAGTAGTGGTCAAAGAAACTTGGCAGATTGGGATCGAATCTGTGTTGAAGAATTTATTGATGAAGATTTTGATTTCGAAGGGAACTTAGCCTTATTTAATAAGAGTGCATTCTATGAAATGGTTGATTCGCGCGAAGGTCATTCAATAACAAATACTTCTGACGTGAATAATTCTTCCGTTTCATCTCTGCCACATTTCATTGAAGGTCCAGACGGTGTTGGAATTCCTCTATTCAGTAAGTGATTCGTGGGTTTTGTAGTTATCTTATAAACACAAACATTTAGTGTTAAATAAGTCAATGAAATATTTAAGATTCAGAAAATATGTATATCAAAATGGAGGTTTGTAGAAATCGTAGTAATATAATAGTTGAACTCGTAAGTCGATTTAAGTTAAACCGCCATTGAAAACCTGAAAGCACTAGATGGCCGTTTCATCCTATTATGGAACTCCTCAGTAGTGCGTATCCACGATCCCGCACGCAGGACTCAAACCCAGGACTTTTGGTCTCACGCGCTAACTCTTAGCCTCTAGACAACTGATTTGGCATCCAAAGACGCCGTGCGATGTTTTATGGTGTTGGAGTAGGTTGGAAGAATGCTAAGGGCGGCCAGACCGGAACGTGGCACAAATCCATGAAGTCACTGACAAGTGGGCTGAGCCATGTTGGTAGGTGTAGACTGCCTGGCTGGGATCCGCGAGATGATAACAACCAATGGTTAGAGGCCCTGAATGACATTACTCAAAATCGTTTGCAATGGTGAAGGTGCATTCACTCTTTGTGTTCTGCCAAATTATAATCTTCTGAATTCTTCATGTCCCTTTCCTTTTTCTCTTTCCAAATTTATTTCACTGGACTATACTCCTTGAATAACATCTTCAAACACTAATCTTTCGGATTACTGCTTATACTCTTACTACCTCTACCACTATGGGATTTGAATCAGCAACTGCATCTCCATGTTAATGTGGCATGACAACTCGAACCAATGTACGAAGTTCTACGTTTGACTGACTGGTATCCAATGGTGTTAATGTCCAACTTCAACCAATCCACGATATTGCGCATCCGTCTACCATTGTCTTCAGTGGGTAAATGCCTCACAACAGACATGGTTGAACTCCACTGGTCACGGCTTCTCACTAGAACACACGGGACAAAACGACCGTCCAGTGCTTTCAGGTTTTCCATAGTGGTCTAGCTTAAATCGACTCATGAATTCAGCTATTAAATATGTATGTGTTATTCTGCTAGTATTCATTGGCTACACCTCATATTTTGAATATTATAGACCGATGGAGTAATAGCTGATTAATTTTAAAAAAAATTAAATTTTCAGCTACTAGGTCACAGATTCAAACTCAGTTTCTCATTCCTCCCACCCTTTTAATTCTACTCAATTACCCAAGTACATAAATCTGCGACTTGTTAAATAAATCATGTTCATTTCTATACGTTGTAATTCAATCATTTTACTTATTTGACAGAAATTACTTACCTGATAAGATAAGATAAGAGTGTCACATTGCTTGTATTCAACATAATCTCTTCATTGTTTTTACTTCCTTTTTTTGTCTGCCTTTAGCTACTCCAACTCAGTCATCTAATTTAGTAACAACTATGACAGCTTCAACTAGAACAACACTGACTATCACATCCTCTGGTAGTCACTATGAAGAAAAGCATAAAATAAACAATACACAAATAAATACTACTTCCAATAATAAGTTTAATAATCATCATAGTTCTACTAGTTCAGGAGTAGTTACATTGTCACCAGCAGCAGCTGTAACAGTTCATTCGAAAGAAAATAATTTCAATGATAACATTAATAATAAACAATATTATATAAATTCTATAAAACAACGTAGTAATCAGTACTGGTATACATGTACAGGACAACGTGTACCAATATTTCCATTAGAACAACGTCAGCGTTTATTTAATTATCTAACTACAGGATTAAATTTAGATATTCAAACAAGTAATAAATTTCAAGGTATTACATGGGGTCGATTTATTGAATCTGCTACTCGTCCTCTAATCGATAATATTATGATACATTTACGTCAATTAAATAGAACACCTCAACGGTAAGAATTGTTTATTGTGTGTTCTTTTTCTGCTTTACATTCATTTCATTTCAAAGTACATCTGTTCAGTGAAATTTATGAATACTATCCAACTGGTTTGTTAGTGGGAAACGGTGTTCAAACCTGTCATATAATAGTTGAAAGTTAAATGTTTCAATCACAAAATCACTCACTTATATTCATTACTACGTGTATGAATTTTTCTTACAGTATGCATGACAAATCAGTCTTACATTTTACAAGTACAGTAAAATTTTAGATTATCGCGAGAATTTTGCTACAAATTAGATTCTGTCCAGTCAAGTAATTCGCCTTTAATTTTCAAGAACCAAGGTGTTATATCCAAACGAAAAATAAATGATTGATAGCCACTAAGAATTGTTTACGGATTATTATTACAAATAATCTCATTGGATAATTATTAAGTAACTAAATTATATGTATATTTGCATTCCTGTTATCATAAGCTTTCATTTGACCTATTGACTACGATTATACGATTTACTACTCTAAATATATTCTCAATCGGTTAGTTACTGCTTCTCACACAGCCACTTTTGGCTTGATCTTTTATAATTGTTATTTTCTATTTTACGGTGTGATATGGTCTAATTTCCTCTTTATACAGTGGAGACTGAAACTGGGGTTGTCTTTTGGACTCTACGGACAGTGTTAGATTAGAAGAACCAATAAGGATTCATAATTGTCTCTAGGTTGCTCGTGCTGTTTTGATGTGCCATTGTTTTAGCACAAGAAGGCTTTATAAATCGGTATTTGGATTGGCGATTTTGTTACAGGTCAAAATTCACAACACAAGGTAACTAATAACAGTGTTAGTTGAAACTCGTCATTCAAAGCATTATATAAGGTGTTTCAGTAAACATGAAACCTAACTCAAAACTGCACAAGATTTATGTATTTATTTGGTATATGTTTTAAGAAAAATGCTCACTTATTCTATGTAGCTATTAAAAACTCACATCAAAATAGGAAAGTAAATAACTGCAATTGAGGCTTTCTTGTAAATACGCAAAGTTTTTTAAACATGATAGTTAAATTTACCGTAAGAAAAAATAAAATAGACAATGAGTTCATATGCCTGGTTTTAACTGGTTTAAGGATGCACTCTAGAACTGTGTACTATGAATTAATTTGTAACGATAGCTCAGTATCTCTACAGCTATAAACTTTTTTCACTTACATACAATCAAATATTAACAAGCCTACTAACCCATCTATTTATAATGACCACGTATCATAGAGAGGGATTGGTTGATTAGTCGACGATCTGACCCGCTGCAAGTATACGTTAAGCAACTGTTAAAATCCAACGAGCAATGTACAGTTTTCTTCTGCCATTGTTGTCAAAATGCTTTCAAATCTAATGAAAACTTAATATGATTTTCTTATTACAGCATTAATTGAAAACGAATAAATTGACTTTAGTCAAGAATAAAATTGTTATAATCATCAGAATATCTTAAGTCGCTATCCAAAAGTCATACTATTTAGTGGTACTATAGAAAAAAAATTTTAATTTTTGTGAATGGGTTTTATAAGAAAAATTTTTCTTTTGTTATTACTTCACCTTTTTCACAGAATTATTCATAGACCTCCGGCTCGTATTCTAATTGTATCAAATGGATCTAATCATTTAGGTGCAGTATTGTCGTTGAATGTAGCTCGATATTTATCTACACTTGGAGCTTGTGTTCTATTAGTCACTCCGTCTATGCATTGCGCTAAGACTACTACTAATAATAATTCAGTGGATAGCACTACTGTGGCTGCTTCCGAAGATGTTAGTGATGAATATCCTACTGATAATTCCATAATGTCTACTATTTATCGCCAGGAATTACACCTACTTATGAATTTAGCACCAAAACCAAATCAATATGGACTAGATGATCTTGATGATGATGAAGATGATGAATTAGATCAATACAGTGATGATGGGAGGGGAATAGATAACGAAAATAATCATGATGACGAGTATAACAGTGATAAACAAATACCTGGACTCTATACAGTTAACAGTAATGATAATGGGAATCATACGAATGATGATAATATCGGTCCATCTTCTGCGAATGTTCGTGAACACAATGATGTTGACTTTGATAATATGAGTTGTCTCAATTATTCCGATATCAGTAGTATTGTTGATCATAGTTCAGTTGGACGCATATGGATGAGTCGTATGCCTGGATTGAAAATTATACGTCGACCAAATTGTAAGTAGTATACTTGTACATATTTTTTCAATCTATTAACTATTTTCTAAGCTGTCATTGTTTGTTTGCTTTTAATTTAAATAAATACTGATCGTTTCAAACTCACTTATAATCACAGTAATGAAGACTAATAAATAGACTTATGAATAAACAACATCATTTCTCAACTTTATCCTTCTTTGCAGCTAATTTTCCCTTGAATTCCTAATATTGAAGGTAGTGAATTAGTTGAGTGTGTCAATCACTTCACTTATCCCGGAAGTTTCGTCAAGCTCCATAGGTTGGTGTTTGACGAAATATCGGCAAGAATTTCGAAAAACTCGCTAGGATCACTCAAACCAACTCAGAATCAGTCCATGAAGTCATTGACAACTGGACTGAACCATGCTAATCGGTGTAAACTACCTGGTTAGTGTCAGCGTGATCATAGTAACCAGTAATTAAAGAGTTTGAGTGGGATAGGTCAGAATTGTTCACAATGATGTCTGTGCTTTCCCTCTTTATCTCGTCCTAAAACCTCAGCCTTGAGATCTCATACCATTTTTTTTCGTTTACCCAGTCTTTTGTACCACTACTGATACTGTTATTACTATTCCTACTACTCTGTGATTTGTTTTGAAATAATTTTATCTCACTGTTAATGTAGTACGGGAACTTGAAATGATGCATATATGTTGGATTCTACGCTGCTTATAGCTGATTGACTGGTTAAATTATTGTCTTATAATTGACTTTTTATATAACTTGATAGTATCGTTTATCTGAACAGTATTCTACGTATAAGTTGATAGCTTGACGTTGTTATTTTCTGCGCTTTCAATAAACTACATCTGAAAATTATTTCTTCGTTATATGTCTCACCCTACTTTTGAACAGAGAAATGAGATGACAAATTTTGTGAGATGGTACCATTTCGTGCTTTCTCGTCAGTCACATACAAGCAACATGTTATTCGTGTAAATACAGTTTTGAAGATAAGGTCAAAATTTCTTATTTAGCATGACATTCATTCACTAAAACCATGGTAAACAAAGGTCAACGTACAGTTGTTTTTGAACACATAAAGTTGGACTTTTCCGACCAATCAAGATAGCTTCAAGTAGTTTGAGCGTGTGTGGGTTTTGATGACATGTCACAACTCTAAAGGCTGATTTTGGGTCAATTTGATGACCACTCATCATTAGATGTTTTGTAATGGACGAGAAAGCACGAAATGGTACTATCTCACAAAATTTGTCTTCTCATTTCTCTGTTCAAATTTATCAAAGTGAATCACGCTACTTTTGTTAATGATCCATCATTTCAACCCATACAAATTAGCATAACAACAGTGCATCAGTCTAAAAACTCTTCCCTTCTCTTAGATGTCATCATTAAATAACAACATAATTAAAAGAATGTAGAAGAAGAAAATGCTGTAGGAAATACTTTTTTTTTAAGAAAAGGCATGTTTCTTTCTAGCGTTAAACAGATTGTTAATTCATTTACAAACCCAATTAGTTGTTTGTATTTGACTTATCTGATTCTTCTAATCCATACTAATAAATAGAACTTTTAAATGTATAATTAGTTTTAAACTACTTAATTACCATAACCTACTCTTTTTCTTTGTTTTCTCTAAATTAGTGTATTAAATTCCATCTGCTTGTTAAGTTTCAAGTAAAAAGAAAAAAAAAGTGTTAGTTGATTGCTAATTAGTTGTATAAGCTTCTCATAAATGTTACAGATGCCTGTGTTCTTCATCATTGTTGTCACTCCATTTGTTATATTCATAAAGTACATGGGTTTTTTAGTTTGTCCTACAGGTAAGCAATGTCTAAGATTTACTTAATCAATTCTACATGTTTCTAAACAATAAAACAGCTACCCAATATGTTTGTATTTCATAAACATTTCATTCCTAAAAGTTAACCATTATTGAATACTGCTAAAAACAAATCTTAAGATAGAATAAAATTACAGTTGTATGTTCGATGTATATTCTTCACATTCATTTCAGTGATAAATGGTAGTGGTTAATTAGCAAATAATGCTAGTTTTATGCCAGCTGTAAATTGATCTCAAATAATAACAATAATGTAACTCAGTTATCAAGTAAAGGTTTGTGTACTCAATAATCCAACCATTGATTACAAGCATTTCATGGACCTCAACTATGATGTCGACATATTTCAAAATATATCAGATCAACAAACAGTTAGTACCTTCATGAATTAATCCCATATCTTAATCTTGCCGCTGTTAGTTTTTCCCCAACCTACTGTTATATCATCTGATGTCAAAGGTCGTAATAGGTAGTGGTTTTAATCATATATCTTAACGCATGTCCTAACCACCTCGGTCTGTGGAAATTTTTCACCTCACCAATAAACTTTATGTATAAAGACTAACGGTCTTACAGTTAATATTTCCTGGCTAACAATAATGTCAAATGTGTACACCAATATTTTAGTGTTCCATATTGTCTTCCAAGCTACCGATTTGCAACTATCACTTCATTCTTTCTCCCATTCAGTCTGCCTACTTAATGCGATGCCCAAAGATGAGGCCTAACATTCAAGTCTTAATTGATTAAAGAATAAATGACCTATAAAATAGTTCCCTCCAATCGCCTATGACATGTTTATTTTGCGTGTTTATTCTGTATATAAGCATGTTACTGTATAGAAAACAGTTTTCTTTAATTTTTAATCATTTAGAGAGCCTCACTCCATAATACGGTCTCATGAGTAACTATCACTTGTTCACGAATCATATCATTGCATCCATCTATGCACTAGCATTCTATTCATCTGTTTTAACAGTGTAAATTTCGTCTAAAGCAAAATCATCAGAAAACCTCCTCCATAACATAACTTGAACAGCACTTTAATGCATTTTATTTGGCTTTATATTAATCATATTGCTTTTTATTATCTTGAGAGGTTGATTGATCTTTTCTCTTTAGTGTTTGTTCTCTTTCTTTTTTAATCTTATACAGCTGTTACCAAACTGCCAAGTAGTATACGCATTGACCTAGCGATAATTGGTCATCCAGATGACAGTACTACTGTAAATAAAGATAACTCCTCACTGTCATCAAATACAAATCTATTGTTTAATTGGTTGCGCAATCACAACTCCATTGGTGGTATTATTCATTTGACACCTTCCCAGTCTATTGTTGATTCTAATATTCTGTTAAGAAATGCTCAACACTTTGTTTGGGTGATTGAATTAGGCTTACCAACACTGACACCACAATGTCATTCAACATCATCTTCAACAACAACGTCTACAATGTCTATTCCTCTAACTGAAGCCACGCTGAATAGTAGTACACCAACTAACACGACCACTTCATCACCAACTCACTTTTTAATTGATGTTGGATTTGGTCGAAATATTGTCCGTAAATTAACTGGTGATTTAAATCTTCTACCACCATATGGTCTATTCGATCTGGGCTCTATGATTCCTTTACGATCAGAACAATCGAACTCAGTGCAACAACAAATATTACGATAATTTCTTTGATTTAAACATTGTGTGCGCACAAACTGTCCACATTTTGTAATTAATTTTGATGAAAGAAAATCTAATTGACTTTGTTTTACTCTGTTTCGATATTTTGTATATAACAGTTGCAATGGTTCTATCGTTCACTTAATCACATAGTCTTTTAATTTCTCCTCTATAGTTATTCTGTTTTCTAATGTAAGATGTGTACACTAGGATAGCCTAGTGTTTTTTTCATTTCGCTTCAGAGTACCTATCTGACTTCGTTGTCATGTTTTGTATTGTACTATTCTACAGTTTTCTTTTCTTTACAAATTGTTATCTCACTTAATAGTCTATGTGATTTATTTTTTCTTGTTTGGTAAGGCATAGATAGCATGACGTTATTCTGTGTAAATATAAAAATGATTGGTAATGTATTACCTGTCTTTCAGTAAAATTAGTAGAGACATGATTTGATTATTATCTGTTTCTATTACACTATGTGTTAGTCGATAGCTTATTTATTTATTTGAACACTTAAATTTTGGTACAAGGGGGCATCAGATGTATATGCGCCACACAAAATGAGAATGGGAAAAGAAAAAGAAGGTAAGGTGCATATAAAAAAAGAACAATAACAACCACAGATTAGTGTGTGTTAGTGTGATAATAAGAATAGTATTGTGGGAAATAGAAATGAACAACCAGAAGAACTCTTTCAATTAAGGAAGTTACGACCACCTTTTATGAAGAAAGTAAAATAAGGTTACGGCAGGCTCGCCACTGGTTTCTATTCTGAGCCATATCTGATAACGTCTACAGCCACTGTGTTGCACTATCCCTCGGACCTCAGACAGGGAGTCGTGAAGGACCATCAGAAGCCAGTCCTTTGCAGCTTTCATACACTGACCACCTCTCCGCCTTCTCCAACCAGTCGCAGCGTCGGCAAATAATGCACGACGAGAAATTTTCTAGGACGACGATCGTAAAACATGTCCAAGCCACCGAAGTCGGTGTTTCAAGATGGTGACACCAATTGAATTATCGTCTCTGCGCCCGAACACACAATGCCGAACCTCTGCATTATTAACATGGTGTTGCCACTGGATGTCATCAATCCCTCGGAAACAACGATGATCGAACACAGAGTCGTTTAACATCCTCCACTCGGACAGCCCAGGTTTCACAAACATAGAGCAAAATTGCTCTCATCGAAACGTTGTAGATCCGACCTTTTACAACCAGACTAACATCACGAAGGCGCCAAAGATGGCCCAGATTGGCATGAGCCGCTCTGGCTTTCATTATACGTGCGTTGGTCTTATCACTCACTCCACCACCAGCACTTATGCAGCTACCTAGATACATGAGCCTTTCGACTACTCCAATCAGCTCACCACCCAGGGTGAGTACAAGAATAGGATCCTGCCAGTGTTGTAAGAGTACTTTGCACTTGGAGGGTGCAAAGCACATGCCGTACCTGCGGACACTGATTGCCAACTGATTAAGTGCGGATTGGATGCCTTGGGCATTGTCGCACTTTAAGACTATATAATCCGCATACTCAAGGTCGAGAAATCTTTCTCCAGGCAGCAGATCCACACCGCCATTACTTACATCCATCAGAGCTGTTTCCAGAATGTCGTCGATGGCAAAGTTGAAGTGGAATGGTGAGATTGGGCAACCCTGCCTAACCCCACTGCTTGAATGGAACAATGGAGAAAGGTGATTTTATGCCCTCACTCTGCCTGGGGTGTTTGTATATAGGGTCTTTAAGATGTTAATAAACTTCTCAGGCACACCCTCTTCAATAGACAATCCCAGAAAACAGTCCTGTCCAACAAATAAAAGGTAGCTCTGTTGTCAAGAAACACTACAATTGTTGACCTGTGATAAGTATGACGGTGTTCTAACATCTGGCAGAGGGTGAATATATGAACAATACATCATCAACCAAAATGAACCCTAGCCTGCTTCTCACGAGTCAATCGGGTTTTGAACAACCTACTAAATATGACGGAAGCCAATAGTTTGGACGCAGTCGGAAGTAGATTTATCCCCCGATAGTTGTTGCAGAAACGACGTGAACCCTTTTTGCAGATAAGGACAATCATCGACTCGTTCCATGATGTTGGAACACTAACTGCCAAGAATTTGTAAACCATTCAGTCAGTTCTTTAGCCAGAAAGTCACCACCATCTTCAAAAACGGCCGGAGGTAGGTCATATCGTGATGTGATCAATCTGAGTCCAGGGTTGGGATGTGGAGGGAGGACGCCAGGTGGCACACCGGCGATGACTGTGCCGGAAGTTAGTAATAGCCAGAAACAGGTTGTGGTCTGTGCGCAGTTTCAGCAAACGTTCCCCGTTATCTGCCTTGCGATCAACAAGTCCCCATCGACCACCTAAACGACTCTCTTGTGTGCCTAGAAGCCCGACGTGTGCATTCAAGTCATCTGCTAGTACTACAATATCTGTGGAACACACTTTCTGGAGAAGAATAGTTAATTGGTGGTAGAATTCATCCGAGCTGCAATCTGTCGGAACATAGGCTGAAATGACTAAAATACATCGTTTCTCACTTTGATGGAACTTTTTAATCTAACAGCACATAACTGACTGTTATTGGGGATCCAATCGATTAGTGCTGCCTCAGCTTTAGAGCTTAATGCGACAGCGAAACCAGATGAAGATGCTACAGGGTCCCCGGATTAACGTACGTAAAACAAGCCTTTTGAAGTGACAGATGGAGAGCAAATGTGTAGTGCATCACTAGAGTTTTGAATACTGGTCTTGGATAGACAACAGATATCTATATTAAGACTTTCTAAAGACATAGCCAGCCCTATCTGTTGTTCGATCTGCATTAGTGTGTGAACGTTGAAGGAAGCCAGTTTGAATGGTGTACGTGGCTTCAGAATACGTATTCGGTGGAAGCATTCAGACCCAAACGTGTGGTTTCTTTAGGGGGCCACACCCCGAGCATTTGACCTAAAGGCCTGACCCACAAGGCAGTAGAGCATCGTAAGGAGATACGGTCCCATGGTAGTCGGTGACCAATGATTGGTTCTTTCAGGATCCTGGGGCCTAAGTGCACCATGGGTTTGGAATCAGGGTTTTCCAACTCCTCTGGGTGGGCTTTCCGTGTCCACCAACCCGGTTAAAGCACCAGACATCCTCTCAATTTCATATACAACACCCCGCCACGAGAAGGCAGTGAGTAAGACGTTCATGGCAAAGGTTGTATATGGGTGGCCTTGTGAGAACATTTCAAGAGGGAGGGCAGCCCCTTCCCCAGTCGATAGCTTGGTGATTCAACAATCATCTCCAACCTCCAGTCATTCTGGTATGATTTACGGTGTCAGCGACTACTCTAGCGGTACTTTCTCTCTGATTAATCTATACCATTGATCCTGTAGGAAAGATTTACTTGTTAAAAGCCTCCGAATATTCATTGACATTTTAGTCCATTTAATTATATGCCTATTACATTCAGTGATTACTGATAAAAGTTTCATTTGTGCCAAATAATAAATTCATGTTTGTAAACAGTGAGGAAATTGCAACTGACTGATTCATCTGCAAACTACCTTAAATTACAATACGGTAACTTAGCATAAAAAATCATGGCATTACTCAATCCATCTATTCGGAAAACTTGACTATACTGGAGCAGTGCATGTATATACCAAAAAACGGTCAAAATCTGTCGACCCAGAAGCTCAGTAGACAAATCAAGGAGCAAAAAGTGCTTGGTTCAAGCTTCAACGTAAACATCGACATCCATACCGATGTATCCAGTTGACGAGTTCCACGTAGGATGAGGTGTGATTCCTAGATTCCGTTGGTAGTCACAGTCCATCCATTTTAGAGAATTAATGTGTCAGCTAAAATACCCTTCCCAATGTGGTTGATTTACTGTAAATTATTCAGTACGTTATCCGACTCATATATATCATATCGGCCACACTATCCGATCATTAAACCTATTACCTAATGAGTAGAGATCAAATTTAGTAACCTTTGAGTACTCATTCTGACTAACTTACACTTATTCAATCGATAGCTTTAGAGAAAATGCACCAGCTGAGGTCCTGACTTATTCTCCTCAAGTCCCTTTATCGAATAATTAATTGAATTAACCACTAAAACATGTAGGTTAGCATGAGCTACTCTGAGAGCTTACGGCGTAGTTTCGGCTTTTAATTGGTCCACTGGTATAGGTTCCTTCTACTCCCCCAGCATTGATTCCGTATAAAAGAATGTTGCAAAGAAGCTTTTACTACTATACACCTATTTTAATCTTAAACAATAACTAGTTTATATAAATAAGTTATTTTTGTAGCCAACCGATCTGACTCTGATTTGAATGAACTCATGAATATGTTATGATCATAAATATTCCATTTAACTCTATATATTACACCTAGGCTAGCCACGTTATATGACAGTGGTAATAAGAAGCCAAATATGGGTTAAGTTGGATGAATTTATTCCAGGCGGATATTAGAAGTAAGAAGCGGGAAAGCAAAGCGGAGAGGTGAAACAAGCCAATTCTATTTGATCAAGCGTGGTTCATTATTTTTAGCCAAGCAAAAATAAGCTCAAGGCGTGATGAATAGGGTAAGTTATGGGCACATGCTCATATAAAAAACAGTCAAGGTTACAAGTAAATAATTGATAAGGTAAAAATGTGGCTCAAGAAGAATAAATCTGTCGGTTCGGGTTTGACACAGCAATAAACACTACATTATCAGCCCTGAACACGCCTCAAATAAATCATATTTTCTATACAATAATTCCATAAATTGTAGAGGAGCGAACAGACGGTAATTAATGAGACGCGTAAAAATAGTTACTAATTCCAATGGGAGCTTACAGTAAAGGGAATATTAACTCACTAGTCCAGTTAATAATTATACAATGAAAATATAAACAACTCCATGAACTAGTCCCAAAGGTCTTGATACTCTACCCTTTATAAAACTTTTCAAACTAAACGCTTATGTCTTGACTGTAAATTTTCATCAAGTACACTATGTCTGTTTGCGGGAACATTGTCATGATAAGTTACTATCAAACAATCACACCAACAAGGCTGAAAAAACGGAAAGAATGCAGGTTGGAAATGCAGTCCGAGTAGGCGAGTGATCTGTTATATTAAACTTCTCAGATAATCAACAATGAGAAACTGACATGTCGTATTGATGATTTCCTTATGGAACACGCTGCTGGATTTTTGCAGGCAGAAGGACACTAGATGTCCATAGGTAATATTACTGATGGTTGAAGCATAGGAAATACTCGCATCTTACGCATTGAAAATACGTGAATGATGTATACTAATTACCGTTATATATGTTTTTTCATAAGTATGTGGTATGTAGATAAGGCTCAATAGTCGCGAGCTATAAATAGCTTTTAAACTTTTGTGTTGGATCATTATTCTATCCATAGCACTGCTGATATTTCGTAGAATCATGTGTTCTGGGGATAAGAATTATCTATATATCC